CTCTCTTTCCCTCAACCCTCGCCTTTCATTACCCCCACTCATGTCCAGGCTGTTCATGTAGATCTCATTCCATTTCTCTGTCATTGGGTGATCCCTGTGTCTTTCTTGGGGTCCTGTTTTCCAGGTAGCCTCCCTGGTGATGTGAGTAGCAGACAAGTCATCTGTTTAGAATTTCTAAACAATCTTATTAAATAAAAAATACAGAGCCAAATACAGAGGTAATAGCCAAAGAGATCAGAGAGCTAGTGAAGAGTGACGACTGGCCTTATCTCACCACCTTGCCCCTGTCACTTCCCCAGAGAGAGCTTCTTCCCATCTAACCTGTGTTTTTATTGTCTTTCTGTTTTGCCTTCTCATTGGCTCTAAGCCCAGCCACATGACTTCCTCGTCACTGCCTGTCTAAACAGACCTCCAGGTCTCTATAGTTGGTACTGGGATTAAAGGCTCATGTCACCACACTTGCCTGTGTCTTTAACCACACAGAGACTCTGTCTGACATGTGATAGGATTAAGGGCATGGGCTACCACCACCTGACTTCTGTTTATGGCTCGCTGTGTGACCTTGCTATGTGACCTCTGATCTCCAGGCAAACTTTATTTATTAACATACCAATAAAATCAGATCTCAGCACAATTAAAATATCACCACATAGCTTTGTGTGTAGATGCTCCATTGAAGAGGTGGTGACCAGAAGCATTGTCTTTTCTGGTGCTGGATTCAGATTGTCTTGTTGACTGAAGGTGTACGAACATCTCAAAATCAGTCTAAAAGCCACCTTAGCAGCACTGGAAATAATGAAACGATACTACTTTCCTTCCTATTCTTAAGTGTTGAGCAGGAAAATCCAGGCCTTGTGCAGAAGTTTTGAGATGCTGTCATAAACAAACCTATCTCTCAGAGATGAATGTATATTAACAATTTTAATTTAAATGATATTTAAGCAAATATTTCTGTTTATTTCATGTATATTGCAATCACACTCATGATTAGACCAACAGTGCTCTAATCTCAGCCTTAAACAGGTGTATGCATTTTAAGGTAATTAAGAAAAGAGACAAAGCTGATGAGTTAGCTCAGTGGCTAAGAACACTGACTGCTCTTCCAGAGCAGCTGGGTTTGATTCCCAGAGCTCACATGCCAGCTCCCAACCATCTGTAACTCCAGTTCCAGGGGATCTTACACCTTTTCTGGCCTCCCTGGGCACTAGGCATGCATGTGATGCACAGATATAGATTCAGGCAAAACATCTGTACACATAAGATAAATAAATAAATTTTAAAAAGAAAAAGAGTTTTATGTTTGCTCAGATGCTTACCATTTCTGATGTTTTTTTTTTTTCATTTATTAAAAAAAATCAATCTGTGGTTCTGTGGCACTCTGAACTCACAGCAGCTGTGGTTGCTTAAGCAGGATCTAGCCAGTCAATATTCTGGTATGGATCAAGGAAGGCTCAATCACAAGGTCCCATGTCTAGTTAAGTAGCTATTGACTGCTGGGGGAGAAAGAGTTCTTATTCCTTTGGGGTGGGTGTGGCGAGTGATAAGCTACCCATGCCCCAGTAGATGGGATGCAGGCAACACTAATTGAATAAAATAAAAAGAAGAGGACATGAAGTTGGGAGAAGATATGGTGGTGTGTGGTCTGCGTGGAGTTGAAGAGGGAGAAGGGTATGGATAAGATAGATTGTGTGTATGTATGTATGCAAATCCCAAAGAATAAATTGAAAATATTGCATTGGAAGTCTGAGGTTCCATCCAGTGTCCTTCCCTTTGTATCTTTAGCCGTCCTTTAGCAGCTCTTCCTTGCATCCCTTCTGTCTTAGTTGCTTTTCTTGTTGCTTTGACCAAATGTACCAATAAGAGCAACTTAAGGGAAAAGGGCTTATTTGAGATAGCAGTCCATCCTTGCTGGGAAGTCTTAGTGACAGGAGCTTGAGGCAGCTGCCTGCTTGGCATCCACAGTCAGGAAGCAAGGAATGATGAATGGTCACACTCAGCTTTTGCCTTTTTATGTGGATAGGATTCCAGCCTCGGGAATGGCACCACCCATTTTCAGGGTGGAGCCTCTCACTTCACTTACCCTCGTCAAGAAAAGCCCTTGGAGGTACAGCAAGAGGCTGACCTAATCCAGACAGTCATTCACAGAAAGGGTCTATCATATAAAGGTTTGTGGTGGGTATGTCATAGATGTATAAATGCAAGGATAGGTGCTTTACTGAGAGGTTTGTCTTAGTCAAGGTTTTGCTACTAGGAATTTGACATCCATAGGTCTTATTTTACTCTTTTCAGAAAACATTTAGAGGAACTATTTCCAAGTACATAGACTGGCGCAGAAAAGAGGAGAATGTCTTAGTTAGGATTTCTATTGCTGTGATAAAACACCATGAACAAAATCAGCGTGAGGAGGAAAGGGTTTATTTCATCTGTTACAGCTTGTAGTTCATCATCCAGGGAAGTCAGAGGCAAAGTGCATGAGGACTGCTGCTTACTGGTTTGTTCTCAAGGCTTTCTCAGTCTGATTTCTTACAGCACCCAGGAACAGCAGCCCAGAGGTGGCACTACCCACAGTGAACTGGGCCCTCCCACACAATCATCCATCAAGAAAATACGCCATAATCTTGCCCACAGGTTGATATGGTGGGGACATTTTCTTACTTGAAGTTTCCTCTTTGAAAATGATTATAGCTGTGTCAAATTGACATAAAACTAGCCAGCATAGAGAACAAGATCCCCACCCTGAAGGAATTATCACTGTGCCTACTATGGGAGCATACACAGTCTGTTTTCCTAAATTTGTCCAGGAAATGTGTTCTTGCTCTGGTGGTTAGTAGCATCAGAAAAGAGAATGTGCAGGTAGGATTTACAGAGGAAGGCTTTGGCTGGCAGACATAGAAGATGATATATGTCAGCATGTTTATGTAAAAAGTGAACAAGCCAGTGGCAGAACTGTATTAGGGTGCTGACGTGGTTCTGGTACTGAACCAGAAAAACAAACAGGGAATGTAAAGGAAATCAAATATAGATTTATATCTGACAGATATTTCCATTCTTATCAGGGACTCTCTGCATCCACTGCATCATTATTAAGCCAGTGAGTCCCACACTTGTGACTCATTATTTAATTCATTCAGTAGCTCTTGGTATGTTTTTTACTATATAAAAAACCAAAACAATAAACCAGAAAGATTTTCCTAGCCTGGACACCCCCTCTCCCTTTAGAATATTTCTAGCATGCCTCATCTAACTTACTTCTATTTCAGTGCTGTTGGGAAACTACATAAATATTTTCTCTTCAGAAAAAATAGGAAAATTTGTGTTATCTATAACTTTCTTTTCATTTAGAAATTACCATGAAAAATTGACTCATGTCAATTATGTCTTTCTGGGCTAAATTGTAGTTTGAGTCATTTGAAGTAACACACTATGATTTTATTTTTCTAGATTATTCATGAATGTTTTGCTGTATGGTACAGCTTTGCATTTCACTAAACGTTATTCTTAAAGATTAGGTTTTGACAGCTACTAAGTTCTCCATTGTTCTTGTTTTAGAGTTCATATCTAGATTTTGGAGAGTATATATCGCATTAAGAGCCACCATTTGAAGTTAATACCATTTAAACAATTAAAGTATTAGCTCAGAAAGTAATGCTTCTGTATATATTTTTAACTTTTCCCCATTAAAGTGACATTCTTCTTTTTGTACTCGTCATGATTTATTTTTAAATGTGTTGTTTATAAGCGCATATTTAGGCTTCCATTTTTTCTTTTCATAGAAAAAAGATATATTAAATATTCTTTCAATTCAATATATTAGTAAAACCTTTTAAAATGGATACTTATCTCAATTTTCCTATTTATCTTAAGACTCATCCTGCTATAATAACATGCATGATCTTTTGTTTTCTCCTAAAAGGACTTTCAAAATTCTCAGAGGGATTTAAGAAATATTTCCATTTAGTCTGATTATAATGGTATGTTATACAATAATTTTATTGTTCTTGTGCTTTTTTACGCTAAAACATTTATATCTGTTTATTAAAATACAACAAAAATATTGAAAACTCTTGTTTTTAAAAAATAATATCCTAAATATAGTAGAAATCCAAAAGTCTTACTATTAAGTAATTGAGATAGGTGGCGGTGGCACACACCTTTAATCCCAGCACTTGGGAGGCAGAGGCAGGTGGATCTCTGAGTTCGAGGCCAGCCTGGTCTACAGAGCAAGTTCCAGGACAGCCAGACCTATGTAGAGAAACTCTGTCTTGAAAACCAAATCAAACAAAAAAGTTGATATTGTCTATTGTACATTTTAAATTTAATTAAGAATATTACAATTTAAAAAGACAGAAAAAGTTGATGTCTTTGATGAAAGATTCAATATATTCTAAGTCACTTTAGGATCACAATAAGGTGTAGGTTGCAATTTTATAATGTGTATTCTTAATGCATTTAAAAACACTGCACACTAGTCAGTAATTCATGATGAAAATTAGAATATATGGAATTAATGTTTAACTTTAGGCTCTACTCATATATTGGTAGAGCAGATATTTAGGTAACTTCAGAGGACTGAAGTTTTCCATCTACAGCTAAAACCAAACCAAATCAATACAATATAAACTAAAGATTGTAAAAGAAGAGAATAAACAGGTTTCCAAACTCAAAGGGCATCTGTTCACATATCAGTAAATAATCTAGAGTTCTAAGCACAGTTTCAAAATCCACAAGGTAGGCCGACGGCTACAGTGAATGACAACAACATTGCCAACATGAAAGGCAATACAATGAAAGTCGCAAAAACATCAAAAGAGATGAGATTAAGTCCTTTAACAAGAGATTCCCAGGTCCACGAACTGTGCCCATCTTTGCCTCCCAGAAGCACAGCAGGTGGAGAATGATGCAGCGTGTTTCACCTTGCTGCTGGCATCTCTGTCAGGTACACAGTAGCACAGGAGGTGCAGGGCAGCCTTGGGTGGTCTACTTGCCTGTAGCACCTAGGAAATTCAAGAAGTACTTTGTTTCCTAATGGAGAAGCCTGAGATTTCTTTAGAAGACAAGTGTACAGAAAACTCGAGGTTAGGGAAGAATGCTATAGAGTGCTAAGAATGTGAAGGGACCCTAGCCCATGCAAGCATGTGGCTCTGGCAGGTCTTGCCTTTCTCCCCTTTCCCTCTGCCTTGCTAAAAACCATTAGATTGCATTTCTAAAGCTACCCCCCAAAGTCCATTCTCTTATTTGACCAACCTTTCCTCCTGAGGCTGATTACCAAGATTCAGCTAGCAAAGCATTGAAGTCCAGCAATCAAAAGCCTCCTTTGGCTCACCTAATTAACATGCCCAATTAAAATTAAACACCTCATCCTAACACAGAGGTTCCCATTTTACTTTTATAAATCATCACTTGCCTATAGGCCATGTCTGTCTCCTCTTTGTCCAGAGGCAGGTTTGTCCACCCCCACTCCACCACTGGACAAATATCCCTGCCTCCTTTCTCTTCCTTTCCCTCATCTTCTATCTCCTGTTTTTGTCTATTATTCCCTGCCCCCTGTTCCTCTGGGGCAAATAAATCTCCTTTGTGCTGAGAACTTGGTCTTGGGTATCCTGAGCTGATACTTTTCAGAATTCAGGACAAGAATGTTATAACAGAAGCCATGGCTATCAGCTACCAACCTGCACACTGCTCATGGCCTAGAACACACTTGTCATCTCTTATTAGAATTTAGCAATGAGGGTCTAGACATGAAGCCATGCTAGGTCTACCTCAGGTCCGGGAACAGGGTTTGATTAGAGGCTTCTCCCATCGTTATGATATTACCTGCACTTTAAGAGGGAGAAAGCAAGAAGTAGGAGAAATGGGAAAAAGATGAAAGGGAGAGGGTGTGGTGGAGAAAGAAAGCACATAGAGACCACTTTAATGATAGAGAATAAAAAAAAATCTATGTGTATGTATGTACCTGTCTGTGCACCATCTATGTGCAATGCCCAAAGAGGCCAGAAGAGGGCATCAGATCCCCCTGAACCTAGAGATGCAGGTTGTTGTGAGCTACTGGGAACTGAACCTAGGTCCTTTGCAATAGCAGATTATAGTCTTAACTGTGGTGCTATCTCCTCAGTCCTGGTAAAGAAATTTAAGATAGCAAGGTCAATGTGCTTTTATGCTATACTGTAGTGGTTTTATGCTTCAGTCTCTTCAAAAGATTTAGGGAAGCTGGGCCATGGTGGCACATGCCTTTAATTCCAGAACTTGGGAGGTAGAGGCAGGGGGATCTCTGTGATTTCAAAGCCAGCCTGGTTTACAGAGTGAGTTCTATCCAGAATAGCCAGGACTACACAGAGAAACCCTGTCTCAAAAAACAAACAAAAATTGTGTGTGAGAGTGTGTGTGTGTGTGTGTGTGTGTGTGTGTGTGTGTGTGTGTGTGTATGTGTGTGTATATGTATGTATGTATGTATTATGTATGTGTAGTAGGGAATTAGCACTTGTTAATTCTCTTCCCTGTCTTCATTACTGTATCAATCCAACACTCTTTCTATTCAAGTGTGCCACATACATTTACTCACTCAAATGGACAATGCTGTATTTCAAAGGATGCTCACTGAAATGTTTTACAGTAGACATTTGCTAAAATAGTTGAAAAATGTCAATCAGAATTTTTGACATACTCATAAAAATTCATAATATTTATTAATTTCAAAGATGAAGTGCATTAAACATATTGATAAAAAGTATCTTAGAAAGCACAGAATGGCATGTGATGTTTTTACACAGAAGTCTCTTAAGCAGTGTTCACTTGGGTGAAGGGGAAGAGGCTTCTTAAAGACCCCTTCTAAAAAGGGATCACTTTTTAACCAGCATATACAAACCTCCTTTTCAATATTCCTCTAGGAAGAGAGCACGCAGCTGATTTCACAATGTTTTCCTCTTACTCTACCTACCATCACTACAATTTATTAGAAAGCATTTTTTTTAAGAATTAATGGAGAAAATGAACCTAAAACTCAGCAGAAGCTCCCCAGGGAAAGTCTCCAGGCTAGTGTTTGTTTCGATACTAACATTGTCTCAGAGGCTAGAGCAAAGGGCACATCCAGCAAAGAAAGCAGAGTTTCTTTCTTTCTTTATCTTTCAAGCATGAGAGCCTACAATCGTCTCTGTTACAACAAACCTCAGCAAAGATATGGCAGAGTGAGCTGGGGACGGACAACATCCTGAGAAGATAAATAGACTCTAAAATCGTTTTGGCCCGAAAATCAATTCAGTTGTCTGTGGGCTTCATGGGGGAGAAAATCACCTTTGTGAGGAAAATGTTGTTTTTGCCTCTGAGAGGACCAAAGCAACATCAAAGGTGAAGCAAGCTATTGCTATGTGGCTGGTTCTTGGTTTATCTTGATAACACTTATTTCCAGCAAGGAATAAATGTTTACAAAGAGCCAGGGGACATATACTTATTTTCCCTCAGCACTGAATGAAGACTGTGTCCTTCCTGATTGTTCTCCCAGGTACAAGACATTACTCACTTTGGCTCACAGCAAAGAAAGGCAGAAAGCTGTGTCATCCTGTGAGGGCAACCGGCTGATATCCCAATGGCTACAACAAACATCTTTGAAAGGGAGAGAACGAGGTGGGGTGGAGGGTGGGGATGTAGATTGGATAGAAGAGGTGAGAACATTGTATCCTGGTCTGAGGTCAGCAGCCCCTACATCTCCCTGCTTGTGTTGAGTGGCACAGCCCCATGAAGAAGAATTGCTATGGGTTTTCTGTAAGCAGCAAATAGGCATGAATAATTTCCAGAAATTTCTAGGAAAGATGTCTGATTTGTCAGGGACATGCAGCTAGAAGCTGGTTGATTCTTTGGGATGGAGGATATTAGAGTTTGAAATTGAGGAGGAAGGAATTAGGTTGACTTAGAGTGTCAACGCCAAGTGGCTCAAGGGAAAAGAAACAGGTGAGCTGAAACAAACACAAGCCGTGGAGGGTTTGGTCGTGGTGGAGGGAAGGTAACTCCCACCTCAAAGAATGTCCTTTGGCCAAGGCTGCCCCTGCTTCCTCATTTCTCTTAAGAACTCCCATATAAGGCAGAGGATGTGGTTGATAGCTTCTTCGAGGTGGGGAACAGAGTTCCAGCAAAAGTGGGCTGGACTGCCCCTGGGGTGTTACACCATCACCAAGTGATACAGGCCACCTTTGACTTTCATTCTGAAGCCGGCACCCAATCCCCGTACTAGGACATTTACCTGTGACACTGGGACATGACCAGCTCATCTTTCCTCTTGCCCTCTTTACTCTTTTCAGGTTTAAGATGTTCTTCCCACACTGTCTCTAGTCTCTGTTAAGGAATAACTCTACAGCTTCACATTAGGACCCACTGTTCTATCCACATACAGCTCCGGCATTTAAAAATGTTTATCTGTGGCCAGGCAGTGGTGGCGCACGCCTTTAATCCCAGCACTCGGGAGGCAGAGCCAGGTGGATCTCTGTGAGTTCGAGGCCAGCCTGGGCTACCAAGTGAGTCCCAGGAAAGGCGCAAAGCTACACAGAGAAACCCTGTCTCGAAAAATGCAAAAAAAAATGTTTATCTGTGTGTCAGCACGGAGAGGTAACCGTCACTATATTCATTTTTATGCCTAGTAGACTTACAGTCAACTTTAATGGAAAAACCTATATTTGGTGTTACTTGCTGCTGGACGAAAGTAGAACATCAAGTTTGGAATCCCCATTTTGGCCCGAGCTGGTGGTAGAGCCAAGGAGTAGAACCCAGATGCCCGGACTGCTATGCAATAATTTTACCTTCCACTAGATGGCACTGTAAAAACCACGTTGCAAAGCACTGGCTCCTTTGGGAGCACAAATGTGTTCTTCTCCCAGGAAGTCCTGGGGCCCAGTTTTGTGCAGCTGGCATCTCAGCTTTTGCTCAGAGCTTTCTGTTCTGATGTATCCGTTTATCCATCGTTGTCGGGAAGGAGATCATGAATGATTTATCTCTAATGACGAGTCATTAGTGAAATTTTCCAATGATTAATCTTTAAAACCTCATTTTCTTGGGAAGTTTCTTCCCTCACGGAGTTGGTCCCCAAAGAAAGAAACCAAGCTGGGTGGAATACTTTCTCTTGTCAACCACGGGACATACCATACCTGTCACCTGGGTTCATTCTGATGATTTTGGAAATCATCCCATGGTCAATAATGGAATATCCGCCCTGCTTTAAAGGATGGTGTACAAAATCTACATTTCAGAGACACGGCTTTTGTCAAGGGGTCACATTAACTCTAAGACAGACCTGGGCTCGACTAGAGCTGTTTTACAGCCATTTGTCCCCCTCAGTTAATGGTTCTGGGAAAATATGCATGCCAACTCATTCAGAGACCTCTGTCAAGAACCCATCAAATTGGCAACCAAGATTACACATCATAAGATCCACATTCAGGTTGGCTCCATAAAAGAGGCAAGTTTGAAATCTGAATAAATCAGTCAATCAGAGGCCATTGAGAACAGAACCAGAGCTTCAGAGTAGAAGTTTTATTGGAAGACTCCAGTGTCGGTTTCACCTTGTGCTGAACAAGCCCCACTATACAGATGTCAGAATTTATGGTGTAAGTCCCCCCAAATCAGTTTATTTCCATGCAGTGCCTACATCCAGCTCTCCCACTGCCTTTCTTCCTCTAACTTAATGCTAAATGATAGAGGTTTGGGTACCTAGAAAGGTAGTTATCAAATAAGTAAATGTGGCATAGCTTTGGAAATGGGCAGTGGTTAGAAATGGGAAGAATTTTGAGGACATGAGAGGAAATGCCTACATTGCTTTCAATGGACTGTTAATATTATAGACGTCAAAGACTCCACTAGTGACGGTGCAGAAGGCAATGAAAACATGGCCGAGAAAGGCTGTGTTATATGACTATGTCAGATGTTTACACTTTCATTCAAAAGACTGTTGGCAAAAATATAGACATCAGAGACACCCCGGGTAACAATTTAGAAACAAATGAGGAACATGAAGGAACCCTGGGGGAAGGTAACTCATATATTGTGGCACCAAATTTGTTGAGTTTGTGTCCTGCTGTTATGCAAGAAGCAGAACTTGGAGTCAGTAATGTTGGCTATTGATTTGGGAATTCTAAGAAAATGACTTAAGGTACTGAGCAGTCTTATTTTGCTGATTATGGTGAAATGTAAGGGAAGAGATGTGTTGATGGAAGAAAATGTAAAGAGGGAAGGAATTGGTGTCTGATGACTTAGGAACTCTCCTTATACCCAGATTGCAAACGATGCTGAAATTTGGATGCTTGCTGTGCTGGTTGCCCTTTTTGTCAATTTGACACAAATGTAGACATATCTGGGAAGAAGACATTTTAATGGGGAAAATGCCTTGTTTGTAGGCAAGACTGTAGATGTATTGTCTTGATGATTGATGTGGGAGGGACCAGCCCACTGTCGGTGGTGCCATCCCTGGGAAAGTGGTCCTGGGTTGTTAAAGAAAGTGGGTTGAGCAAGCCATGAGGAGCAAGCCAGTTAATAATGTTTCTCCAAGGCTTCTGCTTCAGTTCCCTGCCTTGAGCTCTTGCCCTTACTTCCCCAATGAAGGGCTGTAAGTAAAAGTGGAAATGAATAATTTCCTCCCCAAGTTGTTTTTAGTCACAATGTTTTATCACAGCAATAGACTAATAATAGTGACTAAGTAAGTTAAGGAAAGATTGCTCTGGAGAGAAATTAAGGATGTAGCTGGACAGTTTTTGCTTGTGTCTGAGAAGGATCTGGAGGTTAGGAAAGCCAGTCATACAGAAGTGTCCCAGGAGACACTAGCCATGGTGCTCATGGATTCCTCTCAGCCATCTAAACAGAAATCAATACTAAAGACAGTGTCGCCAACAAAGACCTATGGTAGAGGCCTATCTGGAAGAACATCTCTCCCTACTAGTTCTGTAGCTTGTTTGGTCATAGGATTATTTAATATTATTTAAATATCAGAAGATTTCACATAGCAACCCAGGTTTCTGAGCTCTGAGGAAGAATGAGAAGATGTGGGAACCATCAGCCAGCTAGAATTGAGTAGAAACTTTACACTTAGACTTGGTATACTTTGTCCCAATCCTTACACCTCTCTATTGCATGATTGCATTGCACATTCCAGACTAGTACATCTAGGCTTCAGTGAGGTATTTTAATTTTCATGTCTCATTCACAGCCTCTTATTTTACAGGTTAATAAATTACAAGAGGGGCTGAGTGTGGCCAATCTGGGAGATCGGGGATTTAAAGGCTATGGTGGCCGTTTGTTAGTTTTAGGGCTGGTTGCAGGTACCATAGTACCATGAGTATTTAAGAGTTAATGTATCCTAGTTTTCTTTTTCTGTTCCTGTGGTAAGACCATGGTCCAAAGCAATCTGGGGAGGAAAGGGTTTATTTGGCTTATAGATTACAGTCCATCATCAAGGGAAGCCATGGCAGGAATCAACAAGAACTGAAGCAAAAACCATGAAGGAACACTGCTTATTGGCTCACTTACTAGTTCATGCTCAGCGGCCCTTTTAAAAATACATCCCAGGCATACCTGCCTAAGAATGGAACCACTCACAGTGGGCTGGGTCCTCCCACATCAACAATTGGCAGTCAATAAAATGCCTCACCGACATCCTGAGCAGAAAGAACAATATGACAGAGATTGCCATTTCCGATGTCAGGATGTATGATGGAGAGTCATAAATTTCCTAATTGATAACATGATGAACATTTTTTTAGGTATTTCTTTTGCAGTTGTACATGGCCAACAAAAACCAAACTCAATGGCATATTTAGGAGTTCCTTGTCTTATAATGTCATGTTAGGGCTTTAAAAAAATGTAATCGTTTTTATTTTTCATATTTAATTCTTATTTCATTTCATCTATTTCTTTCCTCCCTCCCCCTCCCTCTCTTTCTTTCTCTCTCTCTCCCCCTCCCACAGGCCCTTTGCATATACATTATGGCTTTCAGTTTGTCTTTTTATGGGATTCCCGAGTATGCGCCGGAGTGGTTCTCTGTATCTACACATGTTTCTTGTGCCTTTTCTTGGGCTCTTTTCCTTCTGTTTGTTTGTTTTGTTCTAGTCTGATGTGTTAGCTTGTGTTTTATTTTATTATCGTCTCTTAGAAGAATGTTTTTAATGAGACAGAAAGGTAGTGGGTCTAGATGGGAGGAGAGGTGGGGAGAAACTGGGAGGAGGATAGGGAGGAGAAACCACAATCAGTATATATTATATGAGAAAAAAATCTATTTTCAATAAAAGAAAAAAATAAAATAAAATAAATGAGCTCCAACAACTGCAAAAGAAATACCTAAAAAATTAGCAATTAGGAAAATGCAAATCAAAACATCTTTGAGATTTCATTTCACCCCAGTTAGAATGGCTATGATCAATAAAAAGTGGTAAAAACTGCTGGAGAGGATGTGAGGAAAATGGAGTCCTTATTCAGTGTTGGTGGCAAGAGCCAAGTGGTGCAGTCACTCTGGAATCCAGTATGGAGAAACCTGAAAAAGCTAAAAGTAAACCTACCTTATGACCCAGCTATACCACTCTTTGGCATAAACGCAGTGGACTCCATACCCTACTTCACTGTAGCTAGGAAATGGAAATATAACCTAAATGTCCTTCAGCAGATGAATGGATAACGAAAATGTGGTTCATACACACAAGGGAATACTATTCAGCTGTAAAGAAAAAGAAAAAGATAAAATTTACAAGTAAATGGATATAACTACAAAAGATTATATCGAGTGAGGTAATTCAGACCCAGAAAGACAAACATCAAATGTTCTCACTCATTGGAGGCTTCTAACTCCAAATCTTCAGATGCGAGTGTATAAGACGGAGAAATCACAGAAATCAGGAAAGTATAAAGGGACCGTGGCAGGAGTGGGAGAGGCATAGCAGAATACAGGTGATACAAAGTGGGAAAATGGTGAGGGGCCTGTAGCTGGAAAGATAGAAAAGAGAGGACAAATGCTGTGGGATGGTCTGTATGTCAAATGTGTTGCTGATTGGTCAATGAATAAATCACTGATTGGCAGTGGCCAGGCAGGAAGTATAGGCGGGACTAACAGAGAGGAAAATTGAGAGAACAGGAAGCTGGGAGGGGAGACACTGCCAGCCGCCATCAGGACAAGGAAGATGTAAAGTACCGGTAAGCCACAAGCCAAGTGGCAAGGTATAGATTAATAGAAATGGATTAATTTAAGCTGTAAGAACAGTTAGCAAGAAGCCTGCCACGGCCATACAGTTTGTAACCAATATAAGTCTCTGTGTTTCCTTGGTCGGGTCTGAGTGGCTGTGGGACTGGCGGGTGAGAGAGTTTGTCCTGACTGTGGGCCAGGCAGGAAAACTCTAGCTACAAATGGCGTCCAACGTGGTGGCAAGAGTTTCCACCTAAAACCTGAGAAAAAAGATTCTAAAACGGAGCTAAAAACAGCTTCCTAATTGTCTCTCTCAAATGAGCGGCAGCTGCCTGTTTGAGCTACTGGCAGGTTGCTGGCGTGCGCGCTCGACCTGCAGTATGGCGGGAATGAGGCCTCTGCAAGTGGCACATTAAGCTACATTGTGGATTTAGCCTTTGCTAGTACAAAACAAAAGAGGTTTCTGGGCTACACGCTGCTTGGATAAAAACATAGACCCACGATAGCTCCCAGAGCTGGTGGTAAAGTACCACGCCATGTTGGGAAGCTGAGGTGGGCGGAGCCAGCAGCCACAGCTGCTGCAGCTTAAAGCAATAGATTCACAATAAGACAGATTCAGATGTAATAGTTTAAAATGTGTGTAAAATATACGTAGGCTTAAAAGAGACAAAAAAAAAGGTGATATATACAGTATAGAAACAAATACATGGTTTTAAAAAATAAAGTCTTTAAAGAGACAGTAAAATTAATATAAAAAATAAGCCACGTAGAGATGACTATTACACAGAGAGTCTGGATTGTGTTGTCTTTGGGATTCTTAACTACAGAGAGATATTTGATTGTAAAGGAAGCTGAGTTAAACCAGTATGTATATTTTAAAGATACTTTGACTTCAAAATTTGGATGTAAGGATATGTTGCTTTGGAAAAGAGTCTCTTTTGTTTCCACAGAAAGCAAGAGGCTATGGATTTGTTCCAGATTAAGACACATCAGGTTTGACCAGCCAAGACCACCTGAAAGGTCTCCGATGACACCATGGCCCAGATGATCCAACATCCAGAATCGTTTCAAGGCAACTGGCTCAGATGATACAGCCTCACGGACTACTCCATGATCCTTAAATTTTGTTTCCCCAGAAGATACAGCGCCCCCCTCCAGCAGGAAGTAGTAAGAGAAGCTACGCCCAAATTCCCAAATATACCAAGCTGACTTTGGAGATGTGTAAAGGTTAAAACCTTCCTTTTTAAGAAAAGAAAAGGGGAGGTGCTGTGGGATGGTCTGTATGTCAAATGTGTTGCTGATTGGTCAATGAATAAATCACTGATTGGCAGTGGCCAGGCAGGAAGTATAGGCGGGACTAACAGAGAGGAAAATTGAGAGAACAGGAAGCTGGGAGGGGAGACACTGCCAGCCGCCATCAGGACAAGGAAGATGTAAAGTACCGGTAAGCCACAAGCCAAGTGGCAAGGTATAGATTAATAGAAATGGATTAATTTAAGCTGTAAGAACAGTTAGCAAGAAGCCTGCCACGGCCATATAGTTTGTAACCAATATAAGTCTCTGTGTTTCCTTGGTCGGGTCTGAGTGGCTGTGGGACTGGCGGGTGAGAGAGTTTGTCCTGACTGTGGGCCAGGCAGGAAAACTCTAGCTACAGACAAATGATACCCAGGCTGTCTGATAAAGTATCAAGGAATTATTTCATATTTACCTGAAATCATATATCACATGTGTAAGTGTATGTGCACCTACACATTTATGTCAATCTCTATGTATATCTTAAACACAGTTATGCTACCTGGGCTGACAATGCTCTCCACAAGAGCCATAGACCAAGAGAAACGTACTAGTATTGCATCTAGGATGTAGGTGTCTATTTATTACATTTGCATTGAGAGATGTCATATGCTACGGAGCTCTGGGTTATTCAAGACATCATTGGACTATATAATATCCCAAAACAGATCTCTCCTGAAAACTGTGAACAAAAAATCAAAAACTTTTTTTTTCTTTTGAAAAGCCACACAATGAAACTGCTCATAAAACTCCAATGATCTATTTCACATTGAAGTGGAAAAATGCCCCCAAGGAGCAGCTTCAACACAATCCTGCATACGAGTATCATTTATAGTATGTAAAACAGCAACACAGGACTTATTAGTAGGAACTACAAAAGCCAACCATCATTAATTTTTATTGTGATTTATACAGAAACACTCAAATTCAAGTTCAAAACATCATATTAATAAATAATTTAAAAACTCTTTGTTAGTGAAAACACTATATTTTCAAAATCCCTTGATTATTTATTAAGAGAGTATGTTATAATGCCATTATTTACTTTTTAAAAATGGAAGCCAAGAACTAGGTGTGGCAGCATACCCTTTAATCCTAGCACTCATGAAGCAGAAGCAGGTAGATCTTTGTGAGTTTGAGGTCATTCAGGGTTAAGCAGTGAGACCCTGTCCTTCCTTGTGCTGAATCCCTAAAGAAAAATCACATAAAAAATGAAAATCAACCACGCTGTGATAAAAACATTGAATTAAACCTGAGGTTTACAATCACTCAGAATGCCATTGTTAAAGCATATTCCAACTCTGTTTTTACTCAACTTTGAGAATATTTTTTAGTATCTGAGTTTTGGCTACCACCTTCACATTCTGTATGCATATGTTATCCTTGTACAAAGAAAATGAATACTCTCAGATTTGTGTAACTATTTAACTGGAAATGTTAAATGGAGTTGGCTAATTTATATTTGTTTTCTCTTACTTATAGATTTATAATAATTGTTTCTTTATTTTACTTCCTTCATTTGATTGAATTCATTAAATATTCCTTTTACCAATAATAAAGGCATGGAGAAATAGGATGAGTTGTTAAAAAAGTTCTCCACTAAATAATGCCAAATGTGGCCTTAGAGTTTGTGTCTTTGCCCTCTGTATCAAGTTACCTACTAAATGTAAGAATAGATTGCTATAAATCTTACTGTAATCAAGACAGTGTGATCCTGGCATCTTAACAGAACCATACATCATCAGAACAAAATGGAGCCTAGAAATAAACCCACATATATTTGGTCAATTGATTTTCAATAAAGATGCCAAGGTAATTGGATGAGAATGGGAACATCTTTCCCACAAATGGTTCTTGGACAACCGGGCTGAACACATGGGGAAAAGAAACCTTGTTCCTTACCCATATAAATGAACTCCAGATGTATGAACCTCAATGTAAGGGCTAAAGCCATAAAGCTTGTAGAAGAAACTACAAGAGCATATCTCTGTGCCGTTGGAAAGAGGGTAATTTTCTAAGAGTGAAATCTAAAGCCCTAACCATGAAATAAAGCAAGAAGGGCCTCACTTCTCATATACAACAACTGTATAGAGCATCCAGTGTCAGGGTGTGACCCAGTAACACTGTAACACTGAAAGCCGATGTTTAGGAGCAAAAAGAATAAAAAACAATGGCACAGATACTCTAAGTGGTTCAGATATTGGGAGTCTTTATGTAGGCTCTATTATCAGCCTATTGAATTTGGGTCTATAAAGTTTATTGGGAAATCTTCTAAAGTACTTGTTTCAGTAGGTTTTAGTAAATGAATGATTCCAATCACTGATGCTGTTTCTTTTTGGAATTTTGAGCCTTTTTCTTGGGCTTTGTTAGATTTCTGTCTATGATATGCAATGAAGCTTCTTTTTCAACACAGAGTCTGAGTCACACTGCTGTTTCTGACCTTGACCATCCAACTCTTCTAAAGCAATAGCTCCACACAGCGTTGGTTTAAGACATCCTCATGTAGACATTACAGTAGAGTCCAGCCTCAGAAATACCCTAAACCTTTTTCCTGACTGAATCAGTTGGTAAACTGAAAAAAAGGAAGAGTATGGAGTTGAGTGAGACCTTCTTCTGTTGACCCTTGCCACTCAGACAGCAATTGCATAAAGCAAGCTTTTGGTTTCATAGAGGCAAAATTTTCCTTTCTTTCCTCCTAAGAATGTTCATTTTAGAAATGATTATATTCTTGGTCCTTTTGTGGCAGGCATTCACTATTCTGTGTCACATACAGAGCAAAGAGTAGATCTCATTTTGGATTATTTTGCTCTGCCTCTGATAAAGTATATTCATGAAAACTTCCTCATTATTTGTTCTCTTGTTGCTTATAGCATGTGCGGACAGTTTTCAATACAATGAATCTGCCCCTTTCCCTTGTCGGTCATCTTCTGTTTCCTTCAGAAGTCTCTTGTTCCAATCCTCATTTTGTTCCATCTTGCCTCCTCTCTAGACATTATACCATAAAGATCTTTGCCATGTATTTAAGCTCTGAAGCATAATATATACTTGAATTTAGATCTCAAGATGATGAACATCACTTAGTTTTCATTTCTGATCCATTTTCATTTTGAATCACCTTTTAAAAGATGAAAACTGAGGCCGGGCGGTGGTGGCGCACGCCTTTAATCCCAGCACTTGGGAGGCAGAGGCAGGTGGATCTCTGTGAGTTCGAGGCCAGCCTGGGCTACCAAGTGAGTCCAGGAAAGGCGCAAAGCTACACAGAGAAACCCTGTCTCGAAAAAACAAAACAAAACAAAACAAAAAAAAAAAAAAAAAAAAAAAGATGAAAACTGACCCTTGTTCTTCGAAGAAACCAGAACAAACAAATGGCAGTTCAGTGGCGAGGGTAAGATGTGTGCAGAAACATGGAAGGACACACTCAGCATATGTGTGCCACACAGCTGCCTGCGTGTAAAAGTTATCTTCTACCAAAGGGCAAAGAAGGTAAAAAACAACAAAAGACGTACACCAACCAAAACAAACAAACAATAAACAAGTGTAGGCGACTTACTTGTTATACTGTGGAAGTCAAATTTAGGAGGAAAATATAACCTGTATTAATCAGGGATCCAATCCAGTGACATTCACATAGCAGTATTTTTTTTTTTTCTGGGGTCTTTGATCTGTTGAGGTTTGTGTCTTCTACGGAACTCCTTAATGGCACTGCCATCTAAAGCTCAGAACAGTTTAGGATGCTATAGAGCTTGATGAAGTTATGACAAGTACTATGGGATTTGGTGTCACCTTTGTTTTATACAAGTGGCTGAGAAAATTCAGCAATGGAAAGATTTGCCAGTTGTCCAGTGCAAGGCTGACACAGAGAACAAATCTGTTGGGTACCAAAGCATGTTATTTCTGCTCTGGCTAGGACTCTTCAGTTTATTAGTCTAAAGTAAGTGAATTCCCCAGTAGGAGCTGGGTTTTATGTTGAGGACTATGGGTAATTTGATACATAAGATTTGATTTCTAGAAAGTGTAAGAAGTGTACGTGGGCCTGTGATTACAGTACAACTTGAGAAGATGAATTTTCCAGCTGCATCCAGGATGAACTGGAAAGAGGTGGCAAGGGTCTGCATCTTTGACTGTGAGGCCCCCTGGTGGGGCAGGGGGAGATCCAGGTATGACTCCACAAAGTCTTAGCCAAGCGTTTCACCACCTTATGCCATATTCACGTTCTCTTCAAAGGCCTCTGCAGTTTTCCTAAGGATAACACCGCTGTTAGACATGTCATATTGGAGCCCCTTTGCTTTCAATTTCTTTTTTTTCCTAATATGTTTTCTGGCCTCAGGGTGGCTGAAGGTGAAATGCAGTCCCTTTGACACTCTTTCCTTTTAATCCCCTGATCCCAGTCATCCTTCAAACCTGTTCAGTCTACTAATTAGAACACAAGAGACTGTTTTAGCATATGCTGAGGTCCCAGATCTTCTGCTTGTAAGCCCTTTGCAGTTAAGGGTGGAGGAGTCTGGGAAAAGTTAAGAGGAGGTTAGTTTTATCTTGGCTGCAACCTGATAATTTCTTTCTCTTTTTTTGTTATGGAAATTGTGAGATGGAAGTTGCTTCCTTTCCCTGAGAGGCTGGATCTCTAGCAGCCTGTCTGTGGCCCCATGGACTCTTTTTTAGGCATTTTCTTTGTAGTGCCAAACCTGACAGTATTGCCTCCTTGCTTGTCTGGTTCCTAGGCTACAATTTCAGAGCCCCATTCAGCTGCAGAGAATGGTGGTTCATCTGTCAACTGCCAGCCCCAAGCTATATTTTTAAAGTCTGATTCAGTCGGTGCTTATTATTTACTGTTCTGTTCGGTTGAATATAATCTGGAAACTTTGTGATGTTGCAGAGAACTGGCCAAATCTTAACAAAATATGTAGAGTTGCAGATTCTGCACACTGGTCCTCAGCCTTGCATGGTTTGAGCCTAGGAGCTCATATGGATGCACCTGGGAGGAAACTTGAATGTTGAATTGAAGATGTCTTCTAATTCAGGGAACATATGATAGTCAATCATGTATTTCCTATTTTCTCTTCTGATAGCCTCCCCTTTCTATGCTAAGGTTTTATTGATGGCATTAGATGGATTAAGGAAAATTAAGATCGATCTTGGAAAATTAAGAAGAAAGCAATGTCCCTGTTGAGAAGGGTTTGGGAAAGAAATGAGAAATGTGTAGGCATGTTTTTTTTTTTTTTTTTTCTTGTACTTGGCATATGTGAAGTGAAGGAATTTACAAACATGCCACTTCTTTGTAAGATGTTTTTCCCCCCTTCTTTAGGGATTGGTTGCTTCATTTTATCACTTACCTGTGGTAAAACTTCCTGGGTCCCTTGAAAGTACAGGAACAAGGGACAATGCTCTAACTAACCAGATCTTGGATATTTAAAATGTTCTCGATTTGACCGTTCTTTGCCCATTCACATATGGACTAAGATAGCAATGTTAAGCTCCCTCTAGAGGTGGTCCCTTGCAAATGTCATTGAACAAGAGGCTGAGCTGATGGCTGGAATCCACTCAAACTGGTGCATCTCGTGTCAAAGTCCTCCTCTTCTATTTCTCTGTGGAATGTGTCTCTATGGTGATGTCAAAAAGACATGGATCAGAAAATGAGTTGAGTTTCTTGAGTTCTTTATATATTTTGGAGATCATCCCTCTATCAGATGATGGGTTGATGAGGATCTTTTCCTATTCTGTAGACTTTGCTTTTCAGTTTCTGGAGGTCCCATTTATTGATTGCTGCTCTCAGTGTCTGTGCTGCTGGTGTTATATTCAGGAAATGGTCTCCTGTGCCAATGTGTTTAAGGCTGTCTCCCACTTTCTCTTCTATCCCTGGGGACTGATCCTATAATGAACCTCCAGCAGAGGTAGAAAGAAAATAGTTTCATACTGCAGGTTTTCTCTCTCGTTTATGGATAATAGATGCCTGGTTTGGTATCAGCAGAAAAAATCATGTCCAGACTTAGAGAGAACAAATTCCATAGTTTATATGAAATGCTTGTCATAGGCACAGACGGGAGTAGTGAAGGCATAGATGCCAAGTATTTACCATTCTAGAACATTTAGTCTCTCTTTCCAGTGAACTCTGGTACACACTACACCAAGCCGTATAACTGTGTTCCTCATTCCTTTGAACTCTAAACTTAGGAGTAACTCTGCCTGTGTGGC